TTAATGTCGGCTAAATTTAAAACAGCTGTTGCCTCTTCAAAACACCTAAAGTTTAAGGGACTGCTTAGGTTAAGAAACATTAATTTAGAAATAATATTGTTTTCAGAACAATCATATCTCGTTTCTATATATTGTATAAAATTTTTGTAAAATCCCAGTAAATCTTTTTCCAGAGTCTCTCGTTCACATAAGCTTAGCCTTGCTAAACACTCTTTTGTTTGACTGCCAAAAAACTTATCACATACCCTTTGTTTAAATTTGTCTAATAATGAGCACATTTCATGATGCACCTCTATAATTGTAAGAGAATTTGATTCCAATTTTTTAATCAATTTTTCTAAACAAAACATCATATTGTGTACAAAACCTAAATAAGCTAAAACTATATTCTCATCATTTTCAGTTTTAAATACATTTTCTATTGAGCGTGGACATTCATTCACATTTTCTACAAAATGCAATTTTAAAGCAGGCCATATCTTAATCACTCTTTCAATAGCAGGACATAATGATAAAAATCTGGTTGGAACATGTTTTAAAATTTCCACCCATTGCATATCGCTCTGCTCAAAACTCTGCTGTAAAATTAACCTTCTTTTTGCAGACCGGCTGAAATGAGAACTAATTTTTAAGATCAGAACTTCAACGTCGTAGTCTAATTTGTCTGTACAATGTTTTGCTGCATTGTGAAGAATGTGCACCGTGCAATTTGTTTTTATAACGTTTTTGTTTTTCGAAAGTAGATTGGTATAAATGGAATGATTTTTACCAAAGTTAACACTTGTGTTATCTGCTGAAAATGGGGTAACTCTTTGCAGCGACAGTTCATTTGTTTCAAAAGAATTTATAAGGATCTTCGAAACTTGATCAGCGCATTTGTCAATATTTTCAATAAAATCTAGCAAACGATTTTCTACGCCATTTCGTAGTCATAAAATCGGATGCAAATTGGAAACATCTTCCGATTTCCTTTATTGCTTGCATCCGTCGCAATTGAAAAGTATAAATTGTTTTGTTTTATTTTTGTCAAAATGCATTTAACAGACTGTGTGCTAAGAATTTGGCATACAATTGCTTCGGCTTTAGTTCGTCTGCATCACCTGACCATCTAATCGGGATGAAGCTCCGTTCGGTTTATTAAAAAACTTCTCAATACCGCTGGATGCTGCACCGCTCAAAATGTCAATATGTAACTTTGCAGATGCGTGCTGTCTGAGATCATTTCTTCCACCATGACTGCAAGAGAACTCTCTTTTGCAAATACGGCAATATGCTTTATACACGTTGCCACTTACTGATGCACCCACTTGAATTCTCTTTCCCAATTTAAATTATATCGGGTAAGTCTCTTCGCATTTTTAGGAAGTTCTGCATCAACTTCAGGCTCTTTATTGCTCGAATCGCTCATTCTCACCTAAAATAATATATTTATGTTGTTTGCATTAGCAAAATATAGAAAAATATTTCTGAACTTACCATTTATAACAACTGTTAATATAAAGTAGTTTTCACGTCCGTTTGTGTTATTTTTTCTTTCTAATATGTTTTTCTTCTATTATCAGGTGCATTCCCCACGCAAATAGAAAAGTTAACATACACACAAATGTGTATACTATCTATCTACATATGCATACTGAAACGAAATGAAAATGAACTATCATACGTTTCTTTTCAGCTATATTTCTATTACAGAGTTGCATGCAATAATGCTTGCTAATGACCCACTCACAATCGCCGCGTTAAAGCATGACCATGTTGAGTAGAAGTTTACAGGTTTAAATGAATAATGAAATTGTCGAAAATCCGGGACAAATCTTGTCCCGGCGGGACATTTAAAATTTAATGCAAAATACGGGACGTCCCGGCCAATACGGGACATTTGGCAACACTACTCCCCATACAAAAAAAACGGTAATTTGTTTCCATTGGAGATATAAAATCTGTTATATCTACTATTTTAAAGGCTTCCGCCAAAATATTTCGGAAAAATATTAAGATTTACGTGAGCTGAAATAAAAATAGCTTCTTAAATATTTTTTTTTGGAAAAAATCCCCTGAAATGAAAAAAATAAAAAAATTGCATAAAAATAAAAAAAAATAAAAATATAAAAATTTTCAACGGAAACGTTATAATGAGATTTTTGATGCTGTTAACTTTTTTGAAACATTGGTATAAGAAATACTTGAATAACTGAACTATTCCGATTAAGACTTGTGAGGTATCATTGGTAAGGTATTTTCTCACCCTTTTTATTCCTTTGCTAATAAACTCATTCAAAGGATGAAAGAGAAAGGTAGGAGAACGAGTGCATTCCAAGTTGAATTAAGATGTGTTGGTATTTGAGAAAAAATTGGGACGTGAACGAGTTTTTTTTTTGCATAGAAATAAAAAGAGTGGGAAAATACCTTTTTCAATATTTTTATGCAGGTTTTTTAAGCTTAATCTGTTTTGTCATCTGAGGGGATTTTTTTCAAAAAGTTCTTTAAGAAACAATTTTTATTCATAAAAAACTCCATTTTTGGAGGTATTTTCAACTCGGTCCAGCTCACGTAAATCTTATTATTTTTGCGAAATATTTTGGTGGACGTGTTCAAATATAATAGGTTTTGTAATCCCGGCGGAAAAACCGCAATTTTTTTTGGTGATGCAGTCTAATGTTGGTACATACATATCGTCGTTTGAAGTACAAAACCGGGTATCAACAAAATGCAAAACCACGTATGTGAGGTTGCATAAATTATTTTTTAGAAAGTCAGCTACGCGGTTTGCAGAATGATACGCGGTTTTGTACTTTAAACGACGATATGTACATATGTATGTACATATTTAGTTTTATATGTATACCACCATGTAAGAAGTAAACAACGAAGAGAACGGAGAAAACCGCGAAATTGTTGAACGCATGAAAAATCATTTTTATTATGCAAATTCTTCTATAAATCATGCCGTTAAATTATTCTTTATCTTATGTGTATACACGTCGTCACAAGCGAAAATGAAGAAAATTGCAGTAAAAAGCCGCCACCAAATTGTAAACAACGAAGAGATGTAAACAAACGGCTAATGTCAAAATCGTTCAACTTTTTTCCTAAATGCGATTCTAACGGGCTACTTCCTGCCCGCGTGATCTTGTCTTTTTGGTTCATGTGTATACCACATAGAAAAACAAAAAACCATGTTTAAGAGTACAGTGTACTATCAAATGGTTTACAAAAACTCGATTATTTTATTAAAATAAATATAATATGAAAAATGAAAATTTCATGATTCGCTTTTTAAATGCTTTAGTTGAAGCGCTCACCAAGGGCTCCTTTTAGGAACACCAAGCGAGCGTTTCTTTCTAATGACATACAATGTTAAAATACAATGAGGTGTGGAATTAGGAAGGGGGCGCTTACGGAGCTCTTCTAGTCCCGTTTGGGTACATACATATGAATAATGTATGTTTATGTACATATTAGGGATGTATACATTCGTAGAATTTTAGACATCCGCGGAAGCGAATGCGGATGCGAATATCTAACACCTAACATCCGCGGATGCGGATTCGAATGCGGATGTCAAGTATTATTAAGAAACGATTAGAATCTAGCATAATGGCGAGATCGTTGTTTAAACAGCGATTACGAGCAAACCAGATGGGTCAGGTTTTTCTAAAGCTCTTTAAAAAGAATTCTTCATTCTCATTCCATTAGCTGGTTCAGAATTTGGGGAATCTGTAACTTCATGAGCGTTTTTCGATTTTAGTTTCTATTATTTTTAATACTTCCTTCTGCGACTGGTTGAAAAATGTGTGCTTATAGCGAGGTAAATAGGTGGATATGGAAAATAAATTATTATTTTCCAGGAATGCAAATTTTGAACAAAATTCTGTTATCAAAGTCGTGGCTGCCAGCCGAATCGGATCAAAATGTTATTTTTTAAAAAAATCACCCTGTTTTTTATAAGCATTTGAATCTCAGATAGCTACGTAATTTGTATCTTTTTAAAGGTCAGACTTATAGTTTTTTAATTATTTGAGCATCCATTATCTTTATAGCCAGAGTTTTATCATTTCTGCTGGAAATCCCTATTTACTATTTACTCTTTGACTTTAAATAGCAAAGAAGGAACAGTTTTACCACAGAAGTTTTTAGCCACGGATCCAATGCAAATATGATTCCTATGAAATAAATATTGCCCGACAAGTAAACAAAATTACTGGTTTTAAAACTCTTGCTAAAAATAAATTCCCCAAAGAGACCCATTTGAAATTGTTGGAACGAATATATGTAACATCAAAGGCAAATCACGAAAATTTGGTTAAGAATTACAGTGCACACTTTCTTCTTTTGTGTCTAGTAGTTTTTTAAGATTGGTCCAAAAAAATCATAATAAAGAAAGAAAGAAAGCAATGCAGGTATTTACAGCACAGAAAAAAAATGTGTTATAAAGACTATATTCTGCCCATCGATAGCTCGGTTATATAGCTTAAGAAATAATATGTTTAAAGACATTTTTATCAAAGTTGATAAATATGACATTTGACCAGTTTTGTTACACAAATACTCCCACGACCACAGGCAAAAATATTGGCTACAATTTGTCATTTTGTTTGCCATATATACGTTTTGTCGGTGCACTTGCACAACATTCGCATTCGCAAAAACTCCGCATTGATTAATGCGAATGCGAATATTAAAATTAATGCGGAATCTCCGCAGTTGCGAACGCGAATGCGAATATTCGCAACAACCCTGGTAGATATGCATGTTTATGAAGATATGTATGTTTATGTACATATGTATTTATATGTACACACACATATGTAAAAATTTTCAACAGTTCATTTATGACTGGAACGAATTTTCATTATGAAGTGGAGTGAAATAAACGAGTGACGGTGGGGTAAATATAACTATGGTACCATGCACTTGAGTGCTATAAAAAGCATGGAAAGTATAGACTGCCTGTAAAAAAGCCTCACTATTTCTCTTAGCAGTTGCTCCTGAATGTCTATCCTGTGTGGAGAGCGTAAAGTATAAAAAGGCTTTCCATGAGCACGAATACTCATTCACTCAGTTAAGGTCTTTTGGATTAGACAAGTTGATGCGTTTTACCAGCTGTGTTTTGAGTGAAAAGAATTTAGGAAAAAATTTAAGCATTCAAAAAAGTTTATGGATAGCTAAAGGAACTAAACAGATGTGTGAAAATAGTGAACATTTAAGTAGTCAACAAATAACAATTGACATTTTTACGGAATTAGGATTTACAGACGTTTAAACAGCACGAACGTTCACGGCGGTGCAACGCCCTTTGGTGTACTCACAGTTCACGTGAAAAGGGCAAAACATTCCCATTTGGCGGATACTTGACACAGATTAATTGAGCAGAAAGACTGAAAATCGATTTTTTCTTCGCGGAATATTCGGGCGCAATGATACAAATTGAAAATTGATTTCTTACTGTCTCTAAAGTTATTTTAAATCAAAACGCTTCAATAAGTATCGTAACCTGCGCATTTCGCTTTGGAGCTTGAATAAACTGACAAAGTGCTGAATTAATAATTTATTAGATATAAATGAGAATTATTTTATATAAAGCAAAAATCAATTCAGCACACAGAGATCTCTTTAACTGAAATCCTTAATAAAGAAATTTTAAAACAATTTTTAATAAAGCTTCTAAACAAACTACAACAACGGAGCCATTACTGAAACTCAAAATCAAACTAGGCGCCCCTGGCGAGTTCGCCTATACATCTGGGCGGAATTCACGTACCAAAAAGACAACGCCGCATCGGTAGCCAAAACGGTATTGGAACCGCCATATTCATAACTTGCCAATTAACGGCGAACTTCGCAGAAATTTCCGCATACAGAATTCTGAATCGATGGCGTACTTAATTAATATACTTAAATTCAATGTGAAATATCTAAAAAGCAATTAATAGCCGTAATACACCAACAATAATATCAATAATTGTAATAAAGGGAATATACTATTCGTTGACGTGCAAACCCAGCTAATTAGAAGAGCTACCCCAAAAATTTAAGCAAACAATAATAGAACGGCAAAACCAATACAATGGATCAATAAGCAATTACATTAATAAACTACTAGCCAAAAACAAGGAAGACAAGGCAAACATCGCTTGTGGAAAGTTATAAAACTCAACCTCCAATATAAGCAATATCTGGTGTTTACTATTCTCTTCACTCCCCGCCGTACATCTACATATATTTTTAATTGTTATCTGCATTTTTTAAATTTTGCTTTGTGCAGCTTTTTCCATTGCCTAATGTACGCATTTACGCTGAACAAATAGTGAATATATTGAAGTGGCCGATTGGGGCAAGGTTTACACTCATATCATGGAAAAATCTGAAAAATTTTCAGATTACCTTTTCGCGAAAATGGGCCCGCCCACAAGTACAACTCTTAATGGAACTGAGCTACCACCAAAAACTACCGAACGGAGCGGTGCGCCTCGTGAACTCACCGGCTACCGGAGATGGCTGCAAGATAATCTAATGTTGCTGGTGACACTGTCTGGAGTTTTATTGGGAGTTATTTTCGGTGAGTAAAATTTACATACTCGTACTTACTTACAGTATGTACATAATATAATTGAGTAAATAAAACTGTATTTATGGATTTTAAAATATTTTCATAATTTGTCATGACCAGGGAACGGATATTATGGAAATTGCCTTTTTTTCTGCTAAAGAGATAGAGTATACAGTATATTTTGCTTTGCTGCCTCTATGCTTAAGTGCACATTTAAGATACCTACCCCAAAATGCACATCAAAAGCATTATTTTTAACATTTATAAGGAAACTGCTCCGATAGATGCATTCAACATACCTGCACATTNTAATTTCTACATTGTAAGTGCTCCGCCAATATTTGGTTTCATAGGGATTCGGATACCTTCCTCATTGAAGTAGTAAAGAAAATTCGCTTAAGTGCCTTTTTCGGTTACGTGCACAAGTTTTTCGTGCAAAGAAGGATGTGCAGCTAAGCAAAATATACTGTATTCGAATAAGAATGTCCACGATTTAGCTTTCCCTGATTTCATATATACACATTTGAAGTTGCCTTTTTTTGCCTTCTTTAAGATATTTGCCTTTTTTGCCTTTTTTAAGATATTTGCCTTTTTTTGCCTTTTCTACCTTTAAAAAAGTGATTATAGCATTTACATTTTTTTTTTTAAGATTAAAAAATATACACATGCCCATGCGGCTTATAGAAGCACAGGGACCTCTTGCCAAATTGGTGTTGAAAAAAATCAAAGCCGTTTTCTCAGCTAACGTAGGCTTGAAGACAATAAGGGGTGTGGATAAAATTGTAAAGGGCGAGGAAAACGCCCTTATTTCTGATAATATGAACGTTTCAAACGTTCCATATTTAAATTGGGCTCCACTTGTATCAACTTACGTCGAGCGCACATTTAGTACATTCAAGGCTTTTCTTCGCGAAAATCGAATGAAAATGCTGCCAGAAAACTTCAAATGTTACTACAACTATACTCTTTAAAACTCTTTATTTTGCCTTTTTTTATAGGTTTTTAGGTCCTAAAAATCCGTTTACTGATCATGACACAATAAAAACCAGATTTCATAGTATTAAAATTTCCAATAAGTTAGCTCATGAGCATTATTTAACCCGCAACTCATGCGTTACACTGGTAATCGCGTCCAGTTGATGGATAGAAGAGTATTTTTATACCCGAGCGCACTTGTGCACAAGGGTATATTAATTTTGTTCACATAACGGTTGTTTGTAACAGCCAAAACGAATCGAGATAGATATAGACAAATGTATACATAAATGATCAGGATGAAAAAAGAAATCGATTAAGCCATGTCTGTCTGTCCGTCCGTCTGTCCGTCTGTCCGTCTGTCCGTGTACACGATAACTCGAGCAAAAATTGAGATATCTCAACGAAATTTAGTATGTAGGTTTCCCTTAATCCAAGGTAGGTTGGTATGGAAAATGGACGAAATCGGACTGTAACCACGCCCACATCCCATATAACGGCAATTTTCCGAAACACGNATATATGTATATCGGTAACCGTTCTACCAATTTGTACCAAACTCGGTGTGGTTATTGTGGTTGCCACATGAAAGCAAAGCGTTGAAAATTATTGAAATCGGACTAAAATTACGGCCGCTGTTCATATAACGGTAAATTTCAGAAATGCTTGAAACTTCAATATTTCGAAATTGAAGGACGCCAATTTACTCAAAATTGATACACCCCGGCTTACCATCTAGCGGTAGCTTTCGGAAAGGTGAAAAAATATATATTTAATACTTGCGCCGGGTATTTAATGTTCGGCTCCGCCTGAACTTAGACTTTCTTACTTGTTTGTTTTGTTATTTATTATTCTTTTATTCAAATTTTTTTAATAAGGGTAGTTTAAATAGAAATTTCGATTTTGAATTAATGAAAATGGAAAAACTGCCTGAGTCTGTCGAGAAAGCAGTCATCTAAAATTAAAAACTCATTAATTTATATGTACATATGATTATACATAAATAATTAATTTCTTTGAAATATTGAAACCGAAATTGAGGGCTGACCTACGAAATGTCATTCACTTAGCGTCAGGGGTCAGCCCTCATCTTCGGTCTCAATATTTCAATGAAATTAATCAGGGGCGAGCGGAGATTTATTTTCGGGGGATGAGGGGTGTTGGAATTAAAATATAGGAATATTTGATGAAACTTGTTATATGGAAAAAAATAAATTTTAAACGCCCCAACTCCCCAACCAGTCAGAAACGTTATATACTGTACAAACTTGTATTTGTGTAAACTTCCCCAGTAGCGAAAATAGTCACCGGTAACATCGTCACTTCTGAGGATTTAGTGACATCGTCGCACTTGCTGTGAATCCTAAACGGCATATAGCTGACAATGACACTGTTGACAATGTCATGCAGGGGTACTCCTATCAAAGACTTATAACAGACAATGTCTTGCATCGGTCCATTGCAAGATACTATCGCCTGAATGCCATTAATGATCACTGCATGACCAAGTCATGTACACATTTATGATAAATTTTTCCAACGATTTTACTGAATAATCTTAATAAACTGAAGCCAAGGCAACTCTGTCGCAAATGTAAACGAAAAGAGTAAGGGGCGTTCATATAACACAGCTCTTAAATTTATAAGAAAATCTGATTGATAAAGTTATTGGTTTAGATGAATACCACATAAATATTAGCTTGGCATTTAAATTTCAAATGTAGAAAATTACTTTTGACACACTTTAACACATGATAATTGAAATTTCAAATTACGTTTGGACGAAGGAGGAAATTTAAAAGTAGCATCCGGTTTCCACGGATTTTCTAGGAGTTCATAGCTCTCGTTATAGCTTAGTTTACCGCGAGAAAGATTTTACACATCATTAACAGGGCTGCCAACTTTTGAATTCTTGAAACCGGGACACACAATGTTAGGAAAGAGGGTAGGTAAAATAACATATTTAGCGACATCAATTTAATAGTTAATACTGAAAATTTTTTATTTACATATACATATAAATTTTCACACAACAACAAAACAATATAAAATTTCATGGATACCTAAAAATTTTTATAAAACGAGATTTCAATGATAACAATTTTAAATAACTTAAAAGATAAATGAAAATTGAAATAAAAATCACACCAAATTATAAATTTCTATGTATCGTCACCTGAGTGGAAGATCGACCTATTTATTCGGCAGCTAGTTCGAAAACGCCCTATCTCAGAAAACTTTTCAAGAACGCCTTACTTCAGAATTGAAGAACGCCTTTTCTAAAAATTCGGTTAAAAAACGTTCTATCTCAGCTGAAAATACATTGAAAATGTGCTGAGATGGGGCGTTCTTCAACCAAATTCTCAGAAGGGCATTTTTCAATGAAATTCTGAAATAGAGCGTTCTGAAAAAGTTTTCTGAGGTAGAGCGTTTTCGAACTGGCTGCCCTGATACATGCATGGGTCGATCTTCCATTCAGGTATCGATATTTATGTACAGTGCCGATTTAGGCGGCCAAAATTATTTTTATGAAAATTTTAACTCAAAATGTTTAGAAACGACGTTTACAATATTTAAAACTGTAAATGCTTAAAATCGAGTAAATAGAGTGGGAGGATGTCCAAGTATTCGACCAAAACAACGAAAATAAAGTTGCTTGAAGTTTGACATCGATAGACTCCATGGTATCGAGGTCCGATTGAGGAAACATTGATACCTACGTATTCATATCGCCGCGGAGAAGGTTTATATCTAGTTAAGAACATAAAAAGGGTCGCCACCTCCTAAAAAAATTAAATGCAATTAAGTTAAATGAATACTACAATATGGGTATCAATGGAGATGTTTTTGAAAAGGCTTGATTTCTAAACAACATGTGGGAGGATTACCATCTGTTTAAAAATTAAATTCAATGTATATACGGTATGTTAAATTAATTATAACAATATGGATATGGAACATGACATGGTTTGCCACCTGTCAAAAAATGTAATTTAATAAATTTCAATAAATTACTACACTAAGGGTATCATCCAAAACGGCTTTGAAAGGGCTTAATTTTCAATTACATTTAGTAGGATTTCTACCTGTTTAAAAACCAAATTAAATCAAAATAACATATGATTAAAAAACACTATACGGATTGACCATTATGTTGAGTTTTATTGAAATAATTTGCACCTTATCTAACACGCAGAAATTTCATATAGTAATTTGTTTTAATTGAAATGTCTTTTAACTTTCATTTCTTGAATCTTTTGTGCTTTTTTAGAAATAAAAATTATAAATAATTTCGAATACGTGGCCACTCTGTACAAATAATGGGTGATTTTTTAAGAGCTTGATACCTTTTTTTTTAAAAAAAACGCATAAAATTTGCAAAATCTCATCGGTTCTTTATTTGAAACGTTAGATTGGTCCATGACATTTACTTTTTGAAGATAATTTCATTTAAATGTTGACCGCGGCTGCGTCTTAGGTGGTCCATTCGGAAAGTCCAATTTTGGGCAACTTTTTCGAGCATTTCGGCCGGAATAGCCCGAATTTCTTCGGAAATGTTGTCTTCCAAAGCTGGAATAGTTGCTGGCTTNGAAATGTCAAAGCATACTGAGCATCTTTCTCTTTGACACCATGTCTGAAATCCCACGTGATCTGTCAAATACTAATGCATGAAAATCCTAACCTCAAAAAAATCACCCGTTATCTCCAGATACCCTTAAAATTAAAAACATTATCTGAATACAAAATTCCATCAAAATCGTTAGAGTTGTTTCCTAGAAACCTTTGGATATATGAGTAGTCCACTTGCAAAGAGCGCTATGTAAATTTTTTTCGATTTTTAGTTTTTGGTGGTTAACGTACCAGTATTTAAAGTAGTTTCATGTCTACTAAGAATACTGTGCAAAATCCTTATATATTCTGAAAAAATAGCATCAAATGTTAGCTACTCTAGCAAAAGTCGCTATAATACTTACTGTATGTATACATACACTTTCAAAAGTCGCTATAATATTTATTGTACGTATTTATACAAG